CTCCTTGTGTAAAAGACAAAAAGTCGTTCTTTAACGTATCTAATTCGCGTTTAAATTTATTGATTTTTTCCATTTGTACTTCTTGTTTCCTTTCTTGTTCCAGTTGCCACTGCTGTAGTCTCTCTTCTTGTTTATTTTCTTTCTCCTCCAACAACTGCTGTAATTTCTCTTCTTGTTTATTTTGTTGTTCGAGCTGCCACTGTTGCAGATTTTCTTGCCACTGCTGTAATATTTCTTCTTGTTTCTTTTCTTTTTCCTCCAACAACTGCTGTAATCTCTCTTCTTGTTTAATTTCTCGTTCTTCTTGTTTCTTTTCTTTTTCCTCTAACAACTGCTGTAATCTCGCTTCTTGTTTCTTTTCTCGTTCATTTTCTCGAACGAGAAAAGAAACAAGAAGAAACTTCTTGTTTCTTTTGCTGTTCTTGTATTGCAGCCATCAAGTCTGCTATGCTGTAGTTTGATTTGCCGCTTCTCGTTTCCATTTTTCTTTCTGTCCCACTCTCTGACACCAATTTGTTACGTCTCCGTTTGTTAATTAACTTTTCGTAACTTCGTTCCGACGAAACTTTAGCGACACAAGTTCTTTACTTAATAAAACTGGTTTATTCTTTCCGAATACAACTTTACCGATACACTCAACTTCAACAATCGCGCTAAACAAACGCTATAACAACGAACGTGCTCAATAATACTTCTGACTGCAGATCAATTACTCACTGTCTACCCACACATTACATTCCCCTCTTTTATATACCAGCCTACCCTATATCTAGTAATTACTAGAGCATTCGCCAAAGTACAGGATAGTTCTAGAAACGTGGCGTCACAGTGGTCATGTGACTCGCTGACGCAACAATATACTTAAATTACTTTTTAACATAATTACAACCAGCTAATAAACCATACATATCCTCTGGTTTAATGCCACAGAAAGAACATACATCATCATCTCTGATTTTTATTTTATAACACAATTTCTTTGTGAATAAAATTCTGTAGAAAATTATTTGTTTAACTCAGTGTCCCTTAGTTTAATTAAACATACCACTGAACTTTTGCAAAATTTATTTTTATGACTTAGTTACTATTTTATTCCCACTCATTTCTCATGGGTTGTAAGAGTATATTATAACTATGCATCAAATTTAGAATTCTATAACATATACTATAATAAAATGTAAAAGAAAAGTTAAAACTGAAGCTATTGGTAAATGCTTTATTTAATAAGAAATATCCTAATTGGTAGCTATTTTTTATTATAAAAATAGTGTTGCGTCAGCGAAGTCACATGACTAGTGTCACGCCACGTTTCTAGAACTATCCTGTACCTTGGAGGGTGACAACGTGACGGGAATTATGAGTGTGTAGGTAGTGAGTAATTGAACTGCAGTCAGAGAGAGACGTATTGTTGAAGTTCGTTGTTATAGCGTTTGTTATAGAGCGACTGTTGAAATTAAGTGTATCATAAAGTTATATTCGGAAAGAATAAACCAGTTTTATTAAGAAAGGACTTGTGTTGCTAAAGTTTCGTCGGAACGAAGTTACGGAAAGTTAATTAACAAACGGAGACGTAACAACAGCATAAAAGGGTATAAATATTGTGTCTATGTATTTTATTTTGAGAAATTGATTTGGGTAATACACAGGTTGCATTATAAATTCAGCAAAATAACTTGATCTAAAACTAAACAACTACTAAAGACTTTAATAACATCAAACTAAAATAGCCCAGTATTATTCTCATTTTACTAGACAACATCATATTCAATTGTTGATTTAAAACTTCAAAAACTTACACTATTGAATTAATAATACTTTAACCTATGTCAACTTCAGAGCATTAATATATCATTGAAAATAAATTATTTTATCAGTTACTTCTTAAATAATAGGTTTTCTAGCAATTAACTATTTATAAAAATTATGTAATAACATTTCATATTTATTATCCATTCTTCTGAAGGTTTAGGAATAACAAGAAATCAATGATTAATTTTATCAATAAGAAGAGATTTGATAATAGTTACCTAACGGGTCCAAATCTTCTTCATCAGGCTGTATTTTTTTCATAATTTCTGTGATTAAGTTATGAAAATGTAAATCATCAATTTCTTTTTGAAATCAGTACTAAAAATGAATCCCTAAAATTTAAAATAACTGCTACACTGGTTTAGCTGTAACTTCAGATACATCTGAAATAAGTTATTTCTTTTTCTCCAAAATTTATTATCACATTTTTCTCTGTATTAACTTTGATTTCTGATATTTTCCTACAAAACTTTAAACAACCCCAAACTGCTCTTAAAAATTCTTCCTTATCATTTAAATATTGCAATAGCTAAAGTACATTTGTGTTAATATTTTCTCCAATTAATGTTTTTCTTGAACTGTATATAATTCCCAAAATTCTTGCAACCAAAGTAAACAAATAAAGAGCAATATGTTTTCTTTGATGACATCTTCTTTTAGTTTCAAAAGGGTCAGTAATTTGAATATTTTGATATACTCTTAAGTTAATGTTCTTGAAAAATTGTTTAACTCATAGAGAAATATTTACAAATATTAATAGTAAATTAAAAAAAAATGCAAAACCCCAATAAAGGACCATGTTGTAGAGTCAAAAGCTTATTCGAAGTCAACTCATTATAAAAGGACTCAGTATACTAGTATCTTCAGTAAAGTTAAATAAGGCATGTAATTTACAAACATTATCTCTGAAATATTGCCTTGAAATAAAACCTTTCTGATTAACTTGAATTAATTCTGATACTGATAGGACTATTTTCTCTATTATTTACAGCATTATTGACCAGAAATATTTCACATATTTTCTGGGCTTTTTGCTTTTCAGCAGTAACGTAACAGTCCTTCTCTATGAGTAGTTGATAACATTTTTTTTTCTAAAACTAACATTTAGTGACATAGGCAGATAAAGTCCTAAGATCTTACAAAAAACAACATGAAATTCTGCCATAAAACTATCAGAATCAAATGATTTATCATTGTTTAGAGGCATTAATTTTACCTTATCGACAGTTTGTTATCATATAAAACTTCAAACAAAACTTTGCTTCAGATGCTTATGAAACAGTTTGCTCAGTTTAAAGAAAGAGTTATCACCATTTCTATAACGAAAGTTTTTATACGCTCACATTATTTATAGAGAAGCTTTCAGTTTCATTGTTGAAACACGTACAAACATAGGTGAAAGATCTGAAAGAATCGGTATCTTTCATCTCATGAAGTAGACCCAAAAGTAAAAAGCTTCATCAGCTTAGATGTCTATTGCTTAATTTTTTTGATGGTTTGTAAGATACGGATAAACTTTTGACTGCTGCTAAAGGTACGGATTAGGTAAGAAGTTTGATGCCGAACGAAAAACCCAACACCTAACTCATGGCAAAAGAAAAGACAGAATTGCAATGCTACTTTTACTTAACTCTGGTTTCAGACCCGTAATGCACTGACTAAATATAATGTGATGAAAAACGAACAACATTCTGTAATTACTAAAATAAGTATTTAAATATTCTCACATGAAAAGTGCTTTTGTTTTTCAAAAAGAATATATGCTATTTCAATCACATGTAAATTATGTTCAGAGGCTGTAACAATGTAAAGTATGTTTGATAGAAATACTTTATCTTTCTAAATAGCCTAATATAATGTTACGACAGCGGAAGTCATGTGACGCTAGTAACACGTCATGAGCTTCTAGAAAAT